GGGGTCAGGGGTATAGGGGAACTCTTTAATTACATCCCAATTTGTATTTTGTTAATTTAAAATTAATAATAAAAAGAAATAGAAAAAGAAAGTTTCAAATAAGTGTTTGGGAAATAGAGAGCCAGAGAGAAGATGAAGAACATCTTTAATATAATTCAAGTTATATAATTAGAGTATATGAACTCAGCTTTCTAATTTTTATCTATTATCCCTCATTAATTAATGCATATTCAGAAAAATTTACAAAAGGTTTTTTCCTTTTTTTTTTTGTCTTGGGTCCTAAGAGAATTAGCTTCATGTCAAGTTTCAGCTTTATTTATTTTTCAAATGCAATTTAATAAGTACCTTATTCAATTATTTTTAAACTGTGGCGCAAGGGAGAGCATTCGCTGCACCTGTTAAGATGCTGCTCGGGAATCCTGCAGCCCTTTTTGGAGTGCCTGGTTTCAGTGCCACCTCTGTTGGTGATTCCAGCTTCCTACCAATGATAACAAGTGATGGCTGAAGTTCTGGGGTCCTTCCCACCCATGTGGGAGACCTGGATTAAATTCCTGGCTGCATTGCTTCTTGGCCTTTTGGTGAAGATCAAGTGAATTCCTGCCTACTAGTTTCATCTGGCACAGTTTTCCCTGTTGTGGGCCTTTGTGTTGTGAACCAGTATGGGAGCCTGCTCTCTTTCTCTGCCTTTCAATTAAATAAATTTGAAAAAAAAAAAAAAATAGCCGGCGCCACAGCTTGCTAGGCTAATCCTCCGCCTGTGGCGCCAGCACCCCGGGTTCTAGTCCCGGTTGGGGTGCCGGATTCTGTCCTGGTTGCTCCTCTTCCAATCCAGTTCTCTGCTGCGGCCCAGGAAGGCAGTGGAGGATAGCCCAAGTCCTTGGGCCCTGCACCCGCATGGGAGACCAGTAGGAAGCACCAGGCTCCTGGCTTCAGATCAGTGCAGCGCTCCGGGCCATGGAGGCCATTTGGGAGGGGGGTGAAGCAACGGAAGGAAGACTTTTCTCTGTCTCTCTCTCTCACTAACTCTGCCCGTCCAAATAAATAAATCAATAATATGTATAAGATATTCTAATTTTCCCTTTTAAGGACATAGTCTGATAAATGTGATATTAACTTTAAGCCTAAGAAATTTTATCTTCTAGATTATAAAGACTAGCAGAAAATTACCTTTTAAGTATGGAAAGTCAGGATAATTATGGGTGACAACAATAATGATTGTATTTTAAAAATTACTAAATTAATGAAGATATTTTGTCACATATCTAGAACCAAAATCCTGTGCTGATTTGAAAATTATTAAACATTTCAGAGAATCCACATATTTAGAACAATTACATCAAATTGTAATCAGCACTCAAATATTTTTGTCATTTATGATCAAACTACACTAATCATAAGAATTAGAGTATATAAATATTTAAGCAAATTATCATCATTAGACTCCCCAGAAAAGGATAGCAAGGGCATTCATTATATGCATTTAGGGAAGAAATATTGAGAATATGTTTATTTCAAAAGAGAAAGAGTTACTTTCCTAAAGAAGAATCACAAATGGGTAAATAGAATAAATGTAGATATTTATGGAGGAATAAATATACAGAATGATTCTTCTGTTGTAGATGGAAAGGGAGAAGATTAGCTCAAAGTATTTATTAAATATAGGGTTTCCTAAAGTGGATAGTGGTGGCATAAGGAAATAATATGAAAAAGTGCAATGAAGATTATATTGTCATGTAAAAAGACACGAAGCTATTTAAGGTCTTTTGAATTTGAAGTGACTACTAAGTGCCAGGTAGAAATATCTAGCAAATGTTGCAGTTGTAAGATTGCAAATCAGAAAAAATATCATGAAAGGAATTGTGCCTCTCAGTTATTCTTTTTTAAAACAAATTTATGGGGCTGGCGCTGTGGTGTAGTGGGTTAAAGCCCTCGCCTGAAGCGCCAGCATCCCATGTGGGCGCCGGTTCTGGTCCTGGCTGCTCCACTTCTGTTCCAGCTCTTTGCTATGGCCTAGGAAAGTAGTAAAGGATGGCCAGGGTCCTTGGACCCCTGTGCCTACATGGGAGAAGCTCCTGGCTCCTGGCTTCGATTTGGCACAGCTCTGGCTGTTGTGGCCATCTGGGGAGTGGAGGACCTCTCTGTCTGTCTCTACCTCTCCCTGTGCTCTGTTTTTCAAATAAATAAAATAAATTTAAGAATTAATAAAAGTCATTGTACATAGTTTTGGACTACTCTTTGATGTTTCCATGCATTATGCAAAGTGTACTGATCAAATAAGAGTAATCACTTCTCCATCTTTGATGTTATTTTATGATTGGAGCCCTAAAGTCCTGTTCTTATTTGTTTCTGAAATGTGGAATGAGTGAACAATAATCGCCTCACCATGCTGTGTAACACTGGAACATATTCCTCTGATCCAGCTGTGATTTGGTGCCCATTCTTGATTCATTTTGAGTTGATTTTTGTACAGAGTGTAAGGTAGGGGTTTATTTAAAACTTCTGCATGTGGGAATGCGGTTTTCCCAACATCACTTATTGAAGAGGCTGACGCTTCACCAAGGAATGCTGTTAGCAGCTTTGTCAAAGATAAGTTCCGTGTATATGCATGGGTTTATTTCTGGGTTGCCTATTTTATTTTGTTAGTCAATGTGTCTATTTCTATGCCAGTTTTCTGCTATTTGGGTTATCATAGCCCTGTAGGATGTCTTGAAATATGGGATTGTGATGCCTCCAGCTTTGATTTTACTTACTTTTCAAGATTTCTTTGGCTATTCAGGTATTATGTTCTTGCACATGAATGGTAGTGTTGTTTTTCTAGTTTGGTTAAGCACATCATTGGTATTTTTCCTTGATTTTGTAAATTTCTTTGGGTATTTTGGACAACATTTTGATATTAATTCTTTAAACCAAAAATATTTCTATTAACATTTCTTTAATCAGTGTTTTGCAATTTTAATTGTAGAGATTTTCATATTCTTGGTTAAATTTATCACGATGTATTTAATGTTTGTAGTTATTATAAATGGGATTTTTACAAAGTTATTTCTCAGTAGGACCATTGTTGGTGCCTAAAAGTGCTACTGACACTGTGTGGTGATTCTGTATTCTTCAACATCCCTGAATTTTCTTATCAGTTTTAGTAGCCTCTTGCTGGAGTCTTCTGGTTCCCCTATATAAGGAATCATGTCATCTGCAAAGATGGGATAATTTTACTTCCTCCTTTTGATTTGTACAGCCTTTACTTCTTTCTCTTAATAGATCTGGCAAAGTCTTCTAGAATTGTATTGCATCAGAGTGGTGAAAGTGGACATCTTCTCTGGTTTCAAATCTTAGTGAGGTAAAATTGGTAAAGATTCCAGACATTTGAATCCTTACCAGAATGCTTACGTTTACCGTTCTTTCTCCAGAGCCTTAGTGTGAAAATTAAAAATACTGAGACTACAAGCTTTATGCTGAAATCCAAATACCTAAGCATGCAGACAGTGTTTTTACAACTTGCTTTTTGCTTCCTTTCACAACTCTTCTCCTTCAGATCCCTCTGGTTGTACTCATTTTGCATTACCCTAATGTGCCTTGTCCTCTCATTGAGCTAATTCAAAAATCAGTTCCTATAATCTAGAATTTTACAGTGAATCCTCTTTACTCCCCTACCGTTTTCCCACCCATGGACCACAAGCAAATTTAAGGTCATCACTAACTAAATGAAGCCTTGCTACCATTAGTCAGTAAACCCATCCTCTAAGTTCTAACACCTTGTAATAAAAAAGAAAGACACCCAAGGATTTGCCCTATTTGAATTATCTTCCTGTTACAATTAATAAGCTCCGCAGGTTTTATATTTTTCATTATTCTATCATGAAGTTCTGATAAGATGCCATGTCATTCATTAAATGGAATGTGAGCATGGAAATCACAGGCAAAGAAGAGATTCCTAAAACAACAGGAAACGAATAGTCACTAATGGTAGGCATTTGGTGCAGTGGTTGAGGTACTGCTTGGGATGCTCATATTCCATATCAGAGTGCCTGAGTTTGAGTCCTGACTCTACTCCAGATTCCAGCTTTCTGTGACGCTCATCCTGGGAGGCAGCAGGTGATGGCTCAAATCCCTAAGTCCCTCCCACCCACGTGAGAAACTGACTTGAGTTCCCAGTTCCTGGCTTCAGCTTAGCCTAGCCCCATCTGTTAAAGGCATTTGGGAGATATTTTATTTCTCTCTTGATAATAATAAATGCAGAAAAAATTTGAAAGGCCTTTCATTCTAAAGATTATTTGCCATATTAAAATTAAAACTGTGCCTTTTATTCAACTCCATGTTATACTTTCACTGAGCTAATGTTGTAGAGTTAAGTTTTTCAGTGTCATCGTGCAGTCCGCCAACAGAAGTGTCCTTATGAAAATACAAAGCAAGAGGACAATTCCACCTTGAAAAACAGCATTTTCACAGGCAACTCATTCAACACAGGTATGTAGAGTGGGTTCATGACTGAGATTGTAAGTATCTTCTCTATGTCCCTCAAATTTCTAGTATCTTTCTCAATCTGTATTTTCATATATATTAAACCAATTGTATAATACAACTTTTTTTTTTATTTTGAAATTTTCACTTTTTAAAAGTAGAATTTCACCAAATTCCTAACAGGGATCACTTTTCAGTTAAAATTTAAACACCTAAGAATAATTGTATGTTAATTACAGAGTTCAACCAATAGTACTAGAACAAAAAAATACTAAAATGGATAAAGTATTACATTGTACATCAACAGTCATGACAAGAGCTGATCAAGTCACTGTTTCTCATAGTGTCCATTTCACTACAACAAGTTTCCCCCTTGGTGCTCACAACTTTAACTCTTATTAGTTGAGAAAAAATCACTATTGTCAAAGGTTTTTTTTTCTGCATCCATTATATTACAGTCTATTTTATCACTATTTACCAAAATATTACTTTTGTTAACAAAAAAAATCTAATACTTTATCAAATTCTCTAATCATTGTTACCCAAATACGCTCCAATATAGCTGTCTGTTTCAGGTACTGACTTGAGATCAGCCTGTATGGATTTCTTAGTCTGGAGAGCACAGAGAAGCCGTTTCCCATTCGGAAGTCCTTCCAATAGAGGCTGTGAAGGAAAACACCGGTCCTGTAGGAAATTCTTTGCCACGCAGTGTTAGCAACATCGTGCATAACGATGGAGGATACAAGGGATGGGATGCTCTTCCCAGACCAGAGTTTTTCCCCAAAAGCAGAAAGGAAGCCCATGAGTCTCACAGAATACACAGGGCTGGAAAGGGATCCTCGGCTCTGTCCAGCCTGGACCATGGTGCTCAGGATATGTCCCGAGTGGTCTCTGGAAAATGTCTTTTGTTTTCCAGGTGGCAGAAGTGGCACATGTAAACTTAAGTGGACGTGTTGTGGAGAGAACTGTTATTATTTTTCAAAAGAATCAAAGAACTTTGAAGACAGCAAGAAATTTTGTGAGAGAATGGACTCCAAACTTGTTAAGATAGAAGATCAACAAGAACTGGTGATGTGTATTTCCTGTTTTCCATTTTACACCATATGTATGTAGGCATTACCTGTTGACTAACTCATTTTTATTTAAAGCAGGGCTTTTACAATTTTTTAATTTATTTTTATTTTATTTGAAAGGCAGAGAGACAGATGGAGATCTTACATCTACTTGCTCACTCCCCAAGTACCCTCAACAGATGGACCTGGGCCAGGCTAAAAACCAGAGCCAAAACCTCAGCCCAGGACACCCATGTGTGTGGCAGGGGTTCAGCTGCCTCCCAGAATGTGCATCACCAGGGATCTGAATTCTGAAGTGGACAAAGGACTCAAACACAGGCACTCCTTTTTGGCATCGAGCCTTCCAAAGGGTCAACCTAAGAGCTGCACCAAATACGACCTTTTGGCAAACTATTAATATCTAATAACATTTGAATCCCATTAAACAGTATATAATTATAATATATAATTATAATTTAATTCAGACCCACACAGTTCTTACAGCAAACCAGAAAAGCAAATAAATATGATGTGAGAATTTTAGTAATTCATTTAATTCTTCCACAATTAGAATTTTCAAAGTATATATAAATTAAACCTCAAGTAATTAGGAAAAAATGGTCCTTAAAATATATCATGCTTGATCATGGAGAAATGTGTATCTCATACTGAGTTTTCTCATATTGAGTAATTTTCGGAAATTTAGCTTTAGCCTCTTAGGGAAAATTCTTATACCTACAACGAAAAGCAACCCAAACTAATATGAGTACTGAGTTTTAAAATAGAAGAGAAAACTCTACATGAATTTCAGATTGGATCTGCCACCATGTGGAATGCCTGAATGGAATTCCGGACTCCTGGTTGTGGTGTGGCCCAGCTCTGGTTGTCATGGGCAGTTTGAGTGTGAACCAGTGGATAGATGCACTCTCTTTGTTTCTGTCTCCTCTTCCTGTATCTCACCCACCCCACACTTCAGATAAATAAGAACTGAAGTACCACGATGTGCTGCATAACAATGCTTTTGGTCAAGGATGGATAGTATATACAATGTTGGATCCATGAGGTTATATTACCTAGTGATGTCATATCCATCTTATTTTTGCAAATACCCTCTATGATGCTCAAACAACAATACAATTACCTACCAATGCATGTCTCAGATGTATGTCTATTGTTAAGTGGTGTATGTTCGCATTGAAGAAATCCTAGCTACTTTTATGCAGTTACTTTTCTAGTTGGCCATATAAACACTGCACCTAATGGGAAAGAGACTCAGGGTGTCCTTTTCACAAGAAATAAACAAAGTGGTTGTGAAACAGACATATAAAACAGTGTTGTTACAAATCTTAGAGCTGTCACACCTGGAACTTGAAATCCACAGCTGACTAGGCTCAGAACTCATATTTGAATTACAAATTTGAATTTTGAAGGGAAGTTAACAAATTTCAGTTCTAAGTTGAAATAAACTTATCTAAAATAATTGTCATTAAGGGTTTAGTTAGGTTGTTACCTTTAATGAAGTGTTAGCAACTGAGGTTCCATCATTTTAATTAAACAAAATCTGGATGAAGTTGATCTTTATACCATTTGATATTCACATTAACAACAAAATTAATATAATAATGATAAGTTTAGTACTTCATTTCAGGAATCTAAAATATTCTGAATATTTATTAATATATTAACATTAGTATATTAATATTAATATATAATGATTCATTTATTACAGAACTTCATTCAGAGTCAAATATCTTATTTTTCTTGGATTGGGTTGTCCCGTAAAGGAACCAGCAGTCCCTGGACATGGGAGGACAACTCAGTACCCCTTCTCAAAACGTAAGTCTCTGGGATAGAGAAGAGCTTGCAAGCCCTGTAATCACTGCTTCTGGTTTATAGTCCCAAAATCATACAGGGAAAAAATGCACACACACATGTATGTATTAATTCGCATATACAGGCACATTTACTCTCTGCATGGGCACATAGACATGTGTGTGCACACACACACACACACACATTCCAGAGGAGCTAAGCTCAATGATGAAGATGAGTTCACGGAGAAGGGAAGGAGTTTTTCAATGTGAAGTCTCTGTGTGTATTTCTCACATGATTCTCTCTAGGGAAGCTTAGGGCCCTGTGGGATAGTCTCTGTAAAGACAAAAAGATACGCCTCCTTTGCTTTGGACCAGTATAGCTGATTATGTCTGCATTAATATCTCATAGTATTTATTTGTTCTTATTTTAGTTTAAGTGATTGGAAAGAGTCAACGAGTGGAAACTGTGGAAGTCTAACAGCATCACAGATGACTGCTTCTGACTGTGCCAGACTCATGCACTCTATCTGTGAGAAGAAAACTACATGTCGTTCAACTTAATGCTGGGAACACCACCAACAAAAAATAATAATTTTTTCTTAGGAATAATTCAAACCCTTGGGAGCTCTGGAGTCTTCTCTCACTTCAGAGCATCTGCATTTTTAAAGAGCTCTACCTATATTAAAGCCCGATTAAAATGAGGTCCAAGTATTGGTCTACTAAAATGAGATGCCAGAGACTTTGGAATTCTACCATTTTCAATTCAAGACTTCCTGATCACAGCATCTATGAAAACAAGATGGACCAGAACAGTTTCAGGGCTCTGATGAGGGTCAGGAAACCGAGCTGGGAATACTCTTCCTGCAACTCACACACTTTCGTAGATAATTCCATAAATTTCAGGCACTATTGTGCAATTCGACTAGAAGTAAATGCAGTGTAGTAATTAAGAGCAGTATTTTGTATGAAGCATGTATGCATTTCTGTTTGAATCTTTACCTTTTGGGAGAAAGACACTATGGAATCTGGAAGGGGAAGAGAATAGTATCCTGAATCCAGTCTGAGAATAGTATCCTGAATCCAGTCTGAGAATAGTATCCTGAATCCAGTCTGAATTTGAGGACTGCACCATACCTAATAATTGTGTGTTCACTGGCAAGTGAAAACTTTTGAATCTGAGTTTCCTGATCAGTAGAAAACTTCCAAAGTGTTTTCTAGAGTGCCTGTCATTTTACATTCCAGCATACATGAAAGCTCCATTTGTTTACATCCTTCTGATATGTAATATTGTCAGTACCTTCGGTCATTTTAATAAGGGTGTTGTGAAATTTTATTTGTGATTTTAATTATATTTCCCTAATGAATAAATTATATTGGGAAACCTTTTGTGTGTGTTTTTTCAACTGTATAATTGTATAACTACTTCATATATATATGTATGTATACATATATATGTAAATATATATTCAAATTTGTTGAACATTTTTATTGAGTTGTTCATATTCTTAATATTGTCATGAGAATTGTTTATATATTCTGCCTACCAGTACTTACTTATATAAAGGTTGTATAAATATTTTCTTCCAGTCTTTCATTTTCTTAATAGTATCTTTAGACACTGAAGTTTTTTCTTTCTTCTTTTTAAAATTTTATTTAAAGTACACAAATTTGATATAAACAGATTCTGGAACATAGTGATACTTTCCACCCTAACCTCTCTCTTGCCTACGATCTCGCCTCCCCCTTATTTCTCCCTCTCCTATTCCCATTCATAATTTTTACAAATATCTATTATCTGTTACATTACACTCATAATAATAACCCGATACTAAGTAAAGTGTTCATCAAAGAGTATGAAGAAAAAAAACATTGCTCAACTGTCAAGACAAGAGTTGATAAAAATCACATCTCAAAGTGTCAATTTCATTCCAAAAATTAATTTTTGGGTACTATATTGGATACCACAGATCAGTGAGAACCTATGGTATTTATCTTTTGGGGATTGGCTTATTTCACTAAGTACAATGTTTTCCAGTTGCATTCATTTTATTGTGAATGACAGGATTTCATTTCTTACTGCTGTATAGTATTCCATAGTGTGTGTGTGTGTGTGTGTGTGTGTGTGTATATATGGAAGTCTATGTATAGTATATATATATATATATATATCATAATTCTTTATCCAGTCTTCATTTGATGGACACCTGGATTGATTCCATATCTTGGCTATAGTGAATTGAGCTACAGTGAACATGGAGATTCAGATGACTTTCATATGCTGATTTCTTTTCCTTCGGGTAAATTCCAAGGAGTGGGGTGGCTGCATCATATGGTAGATCTACATTCAGATTTCTGAGGTATCTCCATGCTGTCTTCCACAGTGGCTACACCAGTTTACATTCCCACCAACAGTGGATTAGGGTACTTTTTCCCCACATCCTCACCACCATTTGTTGTTCATTGATTTCTGTATGAGAGCCATCCTAACTGGGGTGAAGTGAAACCTCATTGTGGCTTTGATTTGCATTTCCCTGATGGCTAATGTTCCTGAGCATTTTTCAGGTCTGTTAGCTGTTTGAATTTCCTCTTGAAAAATGTTCAAGTCCTTTGCTCATTTCTTGACTGGATTGTTTGTTCTGTTGTTGTTGAGTTTCTTGACCCCCTTGTATATTCTGGATATTAATCCTTTATCACTTGCATAGTTTGCAAATATTTTCTCCTCTTCACTTTGCTGAGTGTTTCTTTTGCAGTGCTGAAGCATCTCAATTTGGTGTAATCCCATTTGTTAATTTTGGCTTTGATTGCTGTACTTCTGGCGTCTTTTAAAATAAGTCTTTCCTATGCCACTATCTTGCAGGGTTTCCCCAATGTTCTGTGGTATTGTGATGGTATTGGGTCATGGACTCAGCTATTTGACTCATTTTGAGTGGATTTTTGGCAAGGTGTATAGTAGGGGTCTAGTTTCATATTCTGCATGCAAAGATCCAATTTTTGCAT